CTCTCTCCTGGCTGAATCCAGCACACATATTATCTGGAAATGCAGTGTGGTAACTCATCTCTGAGGATCTGAGAGAAGAGTTGCTAAATCTTGCCATAAGCCTTGTGCCTTCGGAGCCAGGTATAAAGCTTGTTGAAGCCAGCTAACATTGAAAACATACTGGTACAGCAACAAATAAATCATGACATATAACATGAAAATGATTTAACTTACTACACACACAGAATGTAGGTAGTGAAGTTGAAGTCACTCTGCATTCCATATGAACATATATATAGCAGTATAACTGTGTTCTTCTGCTTGGTTGTATCCAATATATGCCAAGTTTCTTTGGGCATTTTCTGTTTATTTTGGTGCTATGTTGTCTTTGAAAGGTATTTCCATAATTCTGTCATGGTATTACCATAATTCTGTTATTCTTAAAATACGAATCATGGTACTTTTCTAATTGGATGCATAATCTGCAAAATTATGCTCTGTGTAGCCACTTAAGAGTGGCTTTTTGTAACTGTTGAAACCCATGTAAAATCTAGTTTGCTGATTTATGCAGTGCAACTTTTTTTTTTTTAAATGTAAACGCTGTATGGAAATTGTGTGTTTTCACCTCAGCGGATTACGGAAATCTGGCGGCAAGGGCAAGAAACAAGAAAAAGAAAATCTAAGAGGCTCTCTGGATAGCAGGTAGTTGTTTTTCTTGTTTAATACACACATACTGCATTCCTAAAATGTTTAACCTAACAATTTCTTTAAATCTGTCATTATTGTTTGACCTTAAAGTGCCTTCAAGTATAATAGTGGTAAAATTCTGTGAAGATTAATATAATGATGTGGCAATGAGTATCTAATCTCATGAAATAAGAAAAATACATAGAATAGTATAGAGGAGTCAGTAAAGCAGGATTACGTTTTAAAGTGGCTCTTACGTTTAACACGTTGTACCCTATCTTAAATAGAAAAACTATTTTGCTTAGGAAGGTGAATGTTGAGTAAATTAGCATATTTTTTTTAATTGTTAAATTGTGTGGAATACTGCAAAATCTCTTATATTTGTGTTGTTCGGTAACTCATTATTTTGAATGGGCATTTGAAGGCAAGTATCAGTTTTCAGTTTAAATTTCAGTGGGTGAAAATGAGTGGGGTGTGTGTTTTGTGTTTGTTATTGTTTTGTGGGAGGGTTATGCGTTTGGGGGGTGGAGTGAGGTGGGTGGTGGTTGTTGTTTAAACACAATCTACTTATTTCAGAGGTTCCCGAGAACTGTTGGAAGACTCTGGCAACAATCTATCTGCCTCGGATTCAGATTCCCCTGTTCCTACTTGCATGCCTTTCTCTTGGTTTGGAGACAGCCACAAAGAGCCTCAGATTTCTAGTAGCAGCCTGCATGTTACTCAGAGCGGGCAGGACAGTTGCGATCACAGCCAAGAGAAGAACAGAAGCAAGGTAAAAATGACTAATTTATGCTTTGAATATGAGTGTTGTGTCTTGATAAAATAAAAGCATCAGTGCTTAGTATGTGGAAGCTTCATGACTTAGTCCTTAACCACATCACCTCTTACAAAAGGCTGCAGAGGTTTGAGACTTACAGCCCTCACAGGCAGAGACTGTGTGAGTGTTCCTATTGCCTCCTGTTCAGTTGAAGCATCAGAGGGGGCTATTCAGGCTGAAGTAGCATCTAAGGAACAATCACAGGGTGTTTTTATCACTGGCTTATAGCGCTAGAAGTAACGCTAGCTTTAGGATGCTGTAGTTTTAAAGGCCAAATCTGTTTCCCTGTCTAGTACTTGGGAGGAGTGTACATAATAGAGGTCAGCTTCCCAGGCATTTGGCCAACCAGTTTTTACCACACCAGTCTGTAGGGGTGGAGTACCAGACAGGTGGATGAAGATAGCATCCTGTTTCTCACGGATTTAGTATTGGAAGCCAAGAGACACATCTGTAGAACACACTCTCTTCTAGGAAACTGCTTCTGAGTAACTGGTAGTGTTCTAATAATTTAAAGCCTTTTAACCAGGTCTTGAGGGAGGCTACACAGTTCAGTCTATAGGCATAAAGTTACCAACTTTACAGTTTAAGTGATTTGGAAAAAATGGCTGTAAATAAGATGTTTACATGTGTCCTGCCTAAATATTTTGTTAAAAACTGTTTCAGTGTAAGACTCTTACTAACAGTCTTATTAACTTACATTCCTCCTTGTTTCCTTTGGATATTGTCAGTTTCAAAATTGTAGCTAAGTGAATAACCTCGTAAGTTACATTTATTCTTGAGTTTCACAGTTTTTCTTCACTTTGGTTGTCTCAAGCACCCTCTGAATTTTTCCTTCTGTGTTAGTAGAGAGAAATGAGTTACAAATGTAGAAGAGAAACTTGCCAGGTTGAAGTCCTTGAAGTCACTGATACTTTGCATAGATAACAGATAACAAGTGGACAAGTGGCTTTCCATGTTTCCAGATGCTGATGGCACTAAAATGCTGTTGTAATACGTATTTTTTAAATTGCCTTCTGTTTACTTAGTGTGAATTTACAGTCCCTGTGGCAGGATTAAGCTCTCTGCATACTTAATTTGTAAAATACACATAAACTGGATTTAGAACCATGCAGTGCTGTACGAGAGCAAAGGAACTTAAGAAGAGTAGGAACTGTTTTCTCTCTGAAGTAGAATGACACTTTACAGAATACTGTCCAGTGCGTGCCAGTCTTGTGTACTTAGAGCTCCTGCGTTGTTTGCTTCTGCTGAAGCCTGTAGTGGCCAAAAGACGTTTCTGTGAATAACCCAAGGATCTTAGGACTGCAAGATCCATGTTGAAGGGGATATGCCTACACTTTGGTACAGATTTTTTATTAAATAGGAGCGCCTGGTTGACCTCTTAATGTGCTGTTTTCTGTATAGATAAACATTCAGTGGTTTAGCTTTCAAACCTGTTGGTTCAGAAGAGCCCATTCTTCCCCTCTTCATTTCTCTTTCCTTTCTGATTCAGATAATTTTTCTGAGCGTAGTGAAAGTCCCACTGCTGCGTTTCTCCTATGAGAACCCATTATGTGCTTAAGCACACCTTAATGTGTTTATATAGACACTGGGTTATTTTGACAACCAGAAAGGTATAGATCTTACTAGCTTGGGTCCCCTCTTCCTTTCCACATTGCCCCGAAATAGTAGCTTTTCCTTCTCGTCGTTGTACATATAATTTGTTTATTAAGTTAACCCTCCAGGTGGTTTCTTGCCTATTGGGTGGGGGTGGGGGGGTTTGGGGGGGTTTTGTTTGTTTGTTTTTGGGTTTTTTTTTTGTTTCCTTCTTATGCTCCAGTATGTAATTGCTGCTTGCTGCTCTTTTCTTTTCCTTAGTGCCAGTTGCAAACCAGCAGCTGGAAGAATATACAAGTCTTCAGCTGTCTGACTGCTTTGTAAAATGGTAGAAAGCTGACCCTGTTAAAGAACAGATTCTCATAGTTAATTGATCCTAAAGTCATACTCCATACTTGGCGTCTCCGAAGTCAGGCTGTTTCTACTTTGTAGCGTTTGGGGTCTTCTGTAAAGATGGTAATGTGACAGTAGCTACTGCTTAGGATGACCAATCTTTGTAGATCTTAACCTGCATTTGATAATTAAGTTTGCATTACAGTAACAAGGCTTTGGCAGGTAAACCTCACTGTGAAAAAGCAGTAAAACTGAGAAGGAAATGTGCTTGACCACTCAGCAGTGAGTCTTGTTGCTAAAACAATGTAACAGCAGGGATAAAATTATTTGCCCAGAATTTAAAGAAAGAATACTGCTTTTTCTTGATGTCAACTCCATAATAGTTGTTGCTCCTGTGTGTAGTATCCCATATGATTAGGTGAAAGCATTTGTTAAAGAGCAACTAAAAGTAGAAAACCCTAAAATAAGAACTTTGTTATCTGAGGAAATCTAATTGCTGTACTGAGTCTTTCACATTTTCTATAATTTCTGTAGTTGTGTGTTCATATTGAGGGTGTAAGGAATGTGATTATATTTTAACCATTTTCTGCTTCTGCAAATTTGCCTCTTAAAATTACTACACCTAGAAGGATTTTTTTTTTCTTAAAGTGATACTGAAGTTAGCCTTAAACTTAGGATTTGTCAAAGTAATGAATCAATTTCTTGTTGCTTGTGAAAACTAGAAACACAAGAACTAAAATCTTGTGGTATGGGTGTTTGCAGACTCATCCAGCCTTGAAATTTCTAAACTACACTGTTAAATTAGTCATTTTAAATAATCTGCCCCTTGATTTAGTCCTGTTCTGATACAATACAACCACATACATAACTGTTCATGTTAGTTATTTTTCAGAGCATTATTTAGCTTCTGTAGGCTTGTAAGCAGTGCTTAATTTTCATTGCAGAGAAGAACACTGTAGTGTAAACTATTTATGTCCTAGTACCTTGAATCTTAGGAAGATTAACTATGAAACCTCTCCTATCCAAATTCTGTGCTTTTCAAGAATCAAAAATCTTTGCAACTGGCTCTAAATCCTTAAAAGAAAATTACAACTTCTTCAAACTGAATATGAGCAGAGGGAGGAGAAAACATTACAACTGGTGCTGAGAAGCTTTATTTTTGGTTATGTTTTCTTCATATTTTTTTCTAAGGTCTCATTAAATATTGTGCTCAAATTTTGATCCTGTCTTTTTTTTTTTTTTTGGTACAGTTTTGTTTGTGAGTTGTTCTCCAGTTGCTGTGCAGAGGTAGAAAGAGTGAACTGAGTGGGGCTAAAAGAAAAGCTCCTACATAGACTTTCAGTTTGGTTTGAAATTAATTTGAGAATAGTTTAATGGACAAAGTATTTGGTTGTTGCTGGTAATACTTTTTACAGCTAAAAGATGAACAAGTCCCTAAAATATAATGTAACTAATGAAATATTGTACATGGTAAATAGAACACCATTTTTTTGGTCATGTACAGTACCACACTCTATGAAAAGGTAGCAGGAAATCTCAAGTTGTGGTTGGGGGTTTTTGTTTGTTGGGTGGTGGTGGTGGTGGTTTTGTTTCTTCTTGGTTTTCAGTTTTCTCTTTTTTTTTTTTTTTAAAGACTGTTGATGCATATCAGTAATTTAGAGTAAAAGGGAGTGCGAAGATCAAGTATTCACCCCCACAACAAAAGTAGAATGATCTAGAAAATTTAGGGTTCAGGTTAAACTGAACACAAATAGGGAAGTGCTCAAGAAGGACAACTGCAGAAACATAGTTCTCTTGTAGGAGCCTAAGTTACTCAGGAAAAATGTCTTTTACATCAGCTTAACTTGGGATCTCAGATTACTTATGCATATTAGGGATATGGTATGGCATCCTTACAAAGTGTAGCAAGTTGATTGCAGGTATAGAGAAAATTAGAGAAAATAATGGTAAATAATTGCTTACTGTTTGTCAAGAACATAGAGTAGTGCTGAGAGATACATTTTAGAACTGCAAAAGTAGGAGGCATGCTTTTGGCAGAATTATTTTTCACTCACTGAAGAAAAATAACATAGAGGTCAGGATCTGAGTTTAACGCGGAGGTAATCAAATTAGAAAATATTCTGGGAAACACATTAGCATTCTTCTGAAGGATTTTTACCAAACCTGGTGTGAAGTTTTCAGGTGTAGCCTCTGGAGTTTTTTCATAGTCTTCAGCTTGAGTCACAGGCTGTGGGCGACCTGCTTGAGGTTGTGTGAGTACTGGCTGCTGGATGAATTCAAATCAGGATCCTTCTGCTTTTAGGTGCTAAGCAGTTGTACAGATCCAGAAGCTTCCTTTAAACACAGGCAAAGTATAAAAACTGAATGTAGACAGTAAATGCTGTGAAGATTTTACATTCTTTCAATATGTCAGTTCTTACATTTAGTCATATTTCTAACCTGAATTTTACTGGTACATAATTTTAAAAATTTTAATAGTACTTTTGTTAACTTATTAAGAAATAAATTAATAAAAATCTTTCAGAAGCATTTTTTATTTTGAAAATAATTTGAGCTGTCAAACTGCATAATTACTGTAGATTTACAGTGTTAAACCATTTTTTGTGAAGACATCTCAGTAACTGTTCAACCTCTAAAATGTTCAGCTTTATTACAGTGTTTCTGCAATATTTAGTACTTTAACTGTAAAGATGATTTTATCTAGCTTGATACAGTCCATTTATTACAAATTTCTCCTAAAGGTGTTTTATATCTATGTAGTATTTTTTATCTCAAGGTAATTTTCAGATGACATGATTCTGTGTCTCAAATGCAGCCACCTCAAAAGTGAGTCATGGAATCATAGAGTGGTTTGGGTTGGAAGGGACCTTTAAAGGTCATCTAGTCCAACTCCCCTGCAGTGAGCAGGGACACCTTCCACTAGATCAGGCTGCTCAGAGCCCTGTCCAGCCAGGGATGGGGCATCTACCACCTCCCTGGGCAACCTGTTCCAGTGTTTCACCACCCTCATGGAAGCTCTTACAACGAACAGCAATACAGTGCAGTATCTTAATTCGGAATTTGAGGTTTGGGGAAAGCTTGTCCTTAGGCAAGCTCTGTATTCTTTATTCATGAACTAATTTAAACCCTGATCTGCAAGCTGCCGAAAGCTCCTTGCTATTCCAATTCTCAGTGTATGTCAGGCGAAGATAGTGTTTTTGTTTCACTGTCGACTACAATGGTTCCATAGTGGGCAACTAGGAAGTCTACACCTAGTTCTTGCTTTCAGGAACTTTGTAAGTTATGGGGACACTTCTGTGCCATGGAAATCCTAATGACCATAAACAATTAGGACTGATTTTTATCTTGCCAGCAGAACAGCACCTTCTGAAGCACATTCATAGAGCTTGTGGAGGTGTCAGTTGGATACAAACTCAGCATGAATAATTCCACCAAATGAACCATAAATCACTTCTCCCCAAGCGTGGTATGCCTGCTGGAAACGTAACCACATGTATTTCCTTGTGTACTTTAACACCGTTTCAGGTTATGCTTGATTCACAATGTGGTCTCATTGGGGATATTGCTTTAAATTTGTTATTGTTTTTGAATTCTGAAGTTTAAGAAGAGCCAATTCAGATGTTTGACGTAGTGAGTGCGTTTCATATGTGATCTAAAGATTGATTTTTTTTTTAACCAAAAATCACAATTATTAGAATGTCACCGTATGACCTGCTTTTCCAAAGAGTGAGTTAATAAAACATTATTTCCACTTGTTTGCAGAGTAGAATTGTCATAGATGATACATACCATAGCAAGCCAAGTTGTGAACTTTCAGGGTTAGTGACAGAACCAAATCTGTCAGGTCGTTCACACACTTTAACCTTCTCTTCAAATGAGGTGAGTTTCAAAGTGTGTATATGTGTCGTCTTGATGTTGTTGTTCACACCACAGCATGTTTCATAGAAACAGATTTGTGTAATGTGAAACTGGATGGCTGTTTCCATATCTGAATGTTGAAGGGCACTGTAAACAATCATGAGCTGTTCCTGAACTAAGGACTAGCAGATGCCACATCAGCTTTTCTGTTCTGATCCTAGTTATATCATAAAAGTTGGAATGAACTCTCATTTTAATTATAAATATAACAACTTTCTGTTCCATTAATTTAAAGTAACTTCCTGGGTGAAAGAAAACTTTCAGCAGCATTTTAGACCTTGCCTTGCCTTCACATCCATGCAGGTTTGTTTTACCATAAAATTACATCTAAATAAAATCAACCAAAAGGGAAAAGGGAAAAAAAAAAAACAAAACACCACCACAAAGACAGAATATAGCAGTTCTGATATGTAGGTAGAAACAAAATTAAAACATTATGAAAAACTTAAATGGTGGATCATGAATGTGGGGGGTTGTTATTAGCTATCTTCAACCAGGCTTCTGTGAAAATCTTAAAGTATTGCAGTAATATGTAGCAAGTCTGAACAGTCTTATAAACAGTACTGTAAATATGAAATCACTAATGTAAAAATCTGGGGCATCAGAAATTCATCAACTAGTTTACAGTTTTTAGTAAATAGTAGATTCATTTCTTGCAGATTTTTATCAGAGATGACAGTCATAGATCTGAGGAAAACCAGAGTGCTCCCTGCAGCCTGTTGAATGGAATAGTTCATTAATGGAATTTGTGTTTCTAAAACTTTCATGCAGTATAAATTGTAAGATTTTAACAAAGCAAAATATCTTCTGGAATCTTGTTCTTGATCAGTGTTACAACTTTCAGTAAACCTTTCAGAATTCTAAGACCCAAACAAAAGGTGTCTCTTAGTAATTGTGCATGTGTCAAGTGATGATACAACCCCTTTTTTGTTACAGATGAGTCTGATTCTAGTGTTCTCTCTAGTTCATATGTTGCTTATGTGTATGACCAATGAAAATTGTTTGTACCTTTTCAGTAATTACACTAATTATCAGAGTCTGTTCTGAGGGTAATGATAAACTGGTTTCTCTTTTGGAAATCAGCATGCATGACGAAAAATACACAATTCTCTTCTTGGAGTTTTTAGTTAGCAGTACAATACATTGAGGTCTAGGAAAAAAAAGAAGTAACCAATCATAGCAATTTTGAGTATTTCAAATCCTTAACTTGAGTCCTTCACAAGTAGAATTTCTACCCGGTGCCTGTTATTCAGATGGGTTCGTAAATACCCAGCAGGCATCATGCTAGCTAGGGTAACAACCCCTCTTGTCAGAGGAATGGGATACTGCATGACGCCTGACAAATCCTGGAATTGTTACTGGACAGGACATGGAAACACCTCTTAAAAATCTAGACAGGGTCAGCACTGAGGAGTCTGGCTCTGCTGGGCAGGTACTCACAGGCAGTTTGGGGAAGTGATTGCAAGGTGGTTGTTAGCAGACAGCTAGTTAGAGCAAAGGCACCTCCAAGTCCCTCCTACCCTGAAAGTGTTTAAGCTGTTAAATGGTCTGATGATGTTTTCTTCGGGTTTGTAGTTTTTTCTCTTTAGGGCCTTTAGTATTTCTGTACTTGCTTTCTGAATCACCTGTGTGTTTATACAGGAGCACATGTTTTTCTCATGCTTCCATAAGTAGTTTTAGTTCCGCTTTCTGAATTTGATCTTTGTGTGCATGTGGTGGCTGCTCTGGGGACTGTAACTGGTGTACAGACAGCTTGGGATAGTCCTTCTGCCTCTGAAAGGACAGTAAACAGTTGGGGGGAAAAAATGATGTAGAGGTGTCTTAGTGACCAATAAGCATTACTCAGAAATCTGTATTCTTCTACACTTCTCACTTTCCTATTCATATTCTGAAGAAAAATAGCTACAGATGTGCTTTTCCCCCGTGCAGTATTCAAAAATACAAATTATGCAGGATTAAATGTGTTCCTGTTCACTTTCGCTTCTCTGAGGAGATGATGCCTAAGTTTTTTAACACAGATTCAATTTTTGGTACTACGACTTCTGGTTTTAGGGTTGTGTCTTTGCTGATGTGAAGTAGGAGGAGTTTGTTAGCAACTGGTGATGCTTAAAGCCTAGACTGGAATCAGTAGGTGAGTCTGGAGGACTCCTGCATGGTATTAGCTGCTGTAATCCGTGCTGCTTGGAGGAACTGGTGTAGAGAGCCCCTGAGATACTGTTGGGGACTGCATTCCCTGGCGAAATGAATGAATCTGGGCCTCTTTGACAGGAGTACACCTTCTTCGAGTACTTAGGATCTTGAAATTACAGAAGCAAAGTTGTTGTATGGCTATCACAGATTAAGTGAAACTAGTGAATGAGTTCCAACTGGAATAAAACATTTTACACGCTTATCAGTGTAAAGGAGATTCTATATAGATATCCCTAAAGGATGGGGGTGTGTGTATATATATAAAAAAATATGTATTTTAGTATTTCTTGGTGATGATAGGACCACACATGAGACTGAGATACAGGTCAAACTTGAAATGTAGGAAGTTCCCCTCCTTCTGTGTATTATTCGTGAATGCTTGTTCGTATGAGACAAGAAGTTACCAATGTCTCTCTTGTATTACAATGTCAGGTTGGTTGAGGAGTGCTGTTTCTAGGTTGTCTTGGTGCAGGTGCTGTATGGAGCACTTCAAGCAAAACCTCTTCTGGAGCCCTTTGCTGTTGTTTTGTGAAAATTGCTATTCTTATGCATATCGGGAAGGTGGATGTGTTCACCCTTGTTCTAGCTACATGAGCATTTTAATTTGGATTAGGAGTTCATTTTTGAAGTAAATCTGATCGTCCCCACTTGCCTGACTTTTTGATTCATCTTGGAAATCAAATCAAATGTGCTTCAACAGTCTGCCTGGTTCATTCCAGCTGCTAGTGGCCACTCGGTCTGCGTGACCAGACTAGACCTGTCTGGAAGTGAAAGTCCTTTTAAATGCTTGTAGTGTTGATTTTGGGACCTTAGCACAAACTGTTCTGCTCTACAAACTTGTTCCTATTTATCTGCCCTACCTCCTAAGGTAACCACTGTCCTTTGCTTCACGGACCAGGGAAAGCAAAACTGTTTCTTATCACGAGTATTCCTCTGATACATCAGAAATTTAAAATTGTAGTTGTTTCTCCTTGGATGAGTGTTGCACTCTCAGATCCAGTTTATTCTATGATCGGGTCACGTGATGGGCAGACATCTCACTGTCTTTCACTTGCAATTACCAGAATTATTTGTTACATTCAATCAACGCCCAAATTTTCCATCAAGGGATTTGGATTTTAATAGATCCCTCTGGTTGGGAGCTGTAGTTATTCGCCTGAAACTTGAGGGTCACATCTCAAATCCATGACTAGAAAGATGCTCATTTCCATGTTATCTGCTTACAAATGACGTGTAAGGCTGGCTGGAAAAAGTGGGCATACTTTCCGCTCTGCTGCAAATATGTTTGATAAGCACGCGAAGCTGACTGGCGGAGCAGTCCACAAGTCTAATCCTGAGCTACTGAGATACCATTTTGGGCAGTTAATAAAACTTCAGGTGACTGATATTTCTGATTCAGGTATCACACTGGATATCTTCTGTACAGACATCGAGCTCTGTTTTATGTAGCTTTTCTTTTGTGATTAAGTAATAGCGTGTTTCAGGGTGAACAGCAGTACCTTTTTGCCCTCAGAAGCCAGCTGAAGTTGAAGTAGGGAGCTTCAAAAGCTCTGGCAGCTGGCAAAGTGTATTTTCAGTGAAAGGCTATAAGCTCTTACGTTTCTGAAATGGTCTTCTACCAGGCAGACCCTTTAAAATGTTGACATGACGGCATTAGATGAAAGAATAAACAATCTTCTCTTTTTAGAAATGCACCACATTTAGTAACACTGTACTTGGAACAGTCATCAGATTTACTGACTACTAGAATTGCTTTTATTCTGGATTTCCTGCACTTAACAATATTCAGTAATACAGTTTCAAGTGCTGTTTGATTCTCCTTGATGCTGTGTAAGGTACTGTATAACATCAGGACTGAGCTACCTTAACTGACTACCTGAGGAAGGTTGTTCATTGTTAGGATACATCAAATCTAAGTGAGTGCTTTGCTGTATAATTTCTTGCAGAAAACCATTTATGATCTCTCTTTTGTGTTGCATGTTGTAGTGTCATTTTGTTTATAGCAAACTCCTAGGCAAACTGACTATAAACTATGATCTCAAGTCCTTTTGGAGCTGGAGTATATTTAAAAATGTATTTTGTTAATCACACTCAATTGGCAACTGTAAATCAACATATAGTCAAGTAAAGCATTGCTTACGGTGACTTTTCTCAATTGGTTAGGCATTAGATGATGAATTTACAACAGGAAAGCAAAATCAGTGGCACAGTAGACCTATTTCTGAATGGACCACCCAGCAAGTATGCCACTGGTTAATGGGGATGAACATGGAGCAGTATATTACGGAGTTCACAGCCATGAACATTGATGGTCAGCAGCTAATGCAGCTCGACAGTGACAAGCTGAAGGTATGTCCATATCCCAGGGCAGGTGTGTATAAACTTCACTGCTTTTTCATATTTTTAACCTGCAAAACCTACTTTCCTGTTTTTATGGCTTTTTAAGAGTGAGTTTTGCTTTTGAAATACTTGGAGTTGATACAGTTAGATGAGAATTTAGGATATGATTGTGCAGTTAAAGATCACGTGGTTTTAATCAGAAAAATACCAAGTATTTCTTCCCTGTTTACATCTTGAGGAAATCAAGGTAAACATAATTCCCCAAGGGGGCTTGATACCTCTATCATCAATCTCAGCATAAGGTCATATCAAGGCAAGATCCAGCCAATTCAAATGCATAGAACTGTGGGATCTGGGTTTAGAAATCTTTTTTCCAAATTCCTCTGCAAATGGGAAGGTTAAAATCTTATCTGGTGACCTTTTACGTGTTTTTACTCCTGTCTATCCTAAATCCTTCTTTTGAGCCCTTTCATGCCATTTTACCCCTGGAAGCTGCACGGTATGTGCATGTCCCTTTATAGTGCTAGTAAATTCGTTCCGGTGTTTTTTCTCATTATCACACTGCATTTTGGACAGGCAAGATATGTGACTAAAATGAAGTTCATTGGTCTGTTCTGGCATAAGGGAAATAACTAATTATCAATAGTAGGATTTGAGCATTTTAGGGAGGTGAAGAAAACCCAGTGTCTAACTACAGTCTCCAAAATCTATTCATTTTAAAATAGATATGCGAGACTAAATGTCCTGTATTTTGTTAAGTAAATATTTCATTGGACACAGAGGAAATACCTGTCACTGCTCTGTCAAACGACTGTCTCCGGGGAATTCTGAATAGCTTACTTGACACCCTGTGCCATTCCCAGTTCCCTAGAGTGTGAATGCTGCCTGTAACTTGGAATCGGGCACTGCCACCTGCTGATCCAAAACCGCAGCGTACCGTGTACCTACTGACCATGCTTTTTAATAAATCAATTTAGAGTCCTTAATAGTAAATAATAGAGTGGTTACTGAACATAAATTGCTGTTGCGTAGAGCTAGCTAGAACAGTGTTTTGAGCCTACTGACGTTATGCTGTTTGCTGGGCATTCTCAGGTGTCGACCTCTCTGTAAAATGCAACAAGCAGCTGTTACTTCACAACCAAACAGCTGTAGGCCCTCCCTTCCTTGCTTCCCTTGTTACAGGTGGTCATTGACAGTGCTTATTTGAAGAATAAGGGGCGGTCTTGCAGCAAAGTGAATGACGCTTTCTCAAACTGTTCGTGCACAAGCCCCGCTGACAGCGCTGTTGGAAAAACTGATGATGTTTGGGTTTTTTTTTTCCCAAAGGCTTTGGGAGTTTCCAGTCAAAATGACCGCTCAACAATAAAGAAGAAAATTAAGGATATTAGAAAAACCCAAGAAAAACTGGAAAAGCAGAAGGAGAAGGTTCAGAAGAAGGAGAGAGAAGTTCGCAAGACTGGCAGAGTGGTCACCACTCTTGAATCAAGCTGCTAAAATGACCCTGTTCTATTTTAGCACAGACTTGCTTCATCTTGAGGAAGTACAGCAGATTTGTATATAATTGTACAATTGAGGGAGGAGGGAAAGTGCAACAGTTTAACATGGTAGGTGGTTTTTTACTTTTTAATTATGGTCCCTCCCCATTACAACCCAATAAAATGAAATGATGTTTTCAGTACTTTTATTCCTAGTTGACTCTGCCTGTACTAATAGACAATAATTGGACTTTCTGCCTTAAGTAATAGCTGTGCTTCTAAGACCTCATATGCCCTTTTCATTGAAATTGATGTTTGTGAAAAGTAGAATGCTGTATTAAAAGTCACTCCACTATTAGTCAACTAGCGTTTGGTAAGAGTTGAATCTGATAGAGGGACAAGAGAGAAATCCTGCCAACAAAATCAGTCTGTGACGGTCTGTTTATCTGTTGCCACTAAAGATGTATAGTAAAAATTAAGTTTAAGAAAACAGTAATGTCACATTAATTTAAAAAGAAAGCATGTATTTCAAATTTATGGGTTATTTTGTTTAAATTCTTATTTCTGGGATTTTCATTCAAAGTTCACTGTAATAGCACGTTTTTGAATTTTATTGTTGCAATTTACTGAGAAATAACAAATACTAAGTAGTTTTCACAAACTACATACACTAAGCATAATAAGTTTTCTGTACACTACCCATATGGTGTTGGGACAAGGTTTAAACCTATAAATAAGATTTTTTTAACCTATTTTTCCTAAATAATACATAGTTTTATAGATTTATGCTATGAATAAGATCAATTTGCAATACATGTATTTCTCTTTTCTACCTGCTACAAGATTTTTGCGGACCAAATTTATATATTTGCTAATTTTAAACTATACTGTTTTTCAAACTTAAGATACTGAGGGAAGAATTGTAGGAAAAATTATCACTGAAGCACTGGGTTTCTGCATTGTATTTAAATGTTCAATTGTAGACTGCAGATTGTTTCTCTTTAAAGGAGGATTTGATTCTCAGAATAGTTTAGAACATGAATTGGGTGTTTTGTATATTTACATGCTACTTTCTACAGATACTTCAACAGCACTTCCTTTAAATAGATTATCCCAGCAGCATAGGCTAGTTTAAATAGCGATTCCAGTATAGAATGGACTAGAACAAAACTTACGTAATTAGTTTATGTCAGCCAAGTTCTCCTTTAAATCTATGGACTCTTTTTAATTAAATGAACGAACTTCACTGTTGGTGTTCACAGTTGTTGCTTTTTGTACAAATGTCTTAGGACTTTCAGCAAAAGGACTGTGTGGAAATGCTTCTGCACACTATGCACTTCCAAAATAAAGTTTGAAAATCTTGGTAATAATTACTTTTAAAAAGATGTTCAATTTTCAGTTCTGTGCCTTAAGAAACAATTCTTTGCTCGAGATTTAACCTATTTACTTTGTTTCCAGTAGCTTTGAGTTTGTACTCCAAACTTACAGACCTTGAGTCAAGAGAGGAATGCTGCCCTACTGATATGAGAAGGGAGTACGGAATGATCAGATGCTTAGGATCACACACGTAAAACCACCCTTTGATTAATTCAGTCAAGGAAGTTTATTTCTCGGTTAAGTAATTTCAGGTAGAACAGAGAATATTGCTACAACTATGTGTTAGCTTTTTCCTTTAAGCCTGCTGAGCTGAATGTTGGACCCTGTGCAGAGTTTGTTTCTCAGGAAGGAGACTGGTGGAAATAATGGTTTCAAAGGTTTGCCTATGTGCAGAGCTGTTGTAGTTAAAAGGGGCCACAGCAGGGATGATAAACTCACCTGGCACCTGAGCAGAACAACACTGATTATCACAGACTGCAGCATTTCACAGCTGCCCGATGCTAAACAAGAAGGCTGGCTCTAGGGAGCAAGCTTAGTACCAAGCCACAAAATCACCCAAGGGAAAGCTTTATTTTTAAAATAGTTTTAATGAATAAATGTAGTGATTTTCTTTCAAAAAATTAAGTTAACACAAACCAAAATTAATTTTACAGTGCAAGACTGAGCTCATTTGCATACCAAACTATTAATCTCAGCATCTGGATAGCTGAGCTAGTATACTGATTTTCTACAGTGATTCACTTCAACTTAACCAGTGTGCTAACAATGACTTCAGTACAGCCATGAAAATATTAGACACACCAATTCTCTTCTGAACTTAAATCAAAAGTAATCAAGGATCAGACTTACAAGGAGGGTTAAACACTGTAAACCAAAACAGCGCCACAGTTGTGTTTTCACTACAGTCATTCGGGTGGCGGGTGAGGAGATAGATACAAGTATAGTTATGTGGCAAGCTGTTCTAATAATCAAAATTCAATCGGTAGCTAGCTGAGAGCATGACAGAAGTTTTTATTTCAGTGATACCGTATGAAATACTTCAATGACTTTCTAGAAAGTGTTAAGCTTTTCTTTGAGAACACCTCTTGTAGTTCTCAGATATTACTAACATCAGTTCATGAAGTTTAACTTTCACATGTCTCGATGTTCAGCTTTAGAGTTGAGCTTTTCAAATGCCGGCTGTAGCTTTCAGCTTTAGCTTAGCAAAAGCCATAGCTGGAAGCATTCCCTGCAACACCTGTACAGGCCTCGCTTTACACTATGTGGAATATCTCACACACAGCCTCTTGCAGGGTTGAAGAAGAGAACAGCTATAGCTTCTCCTCACTTGTAGCCACGACTGAAAGGTATGCCATCCTTGGAAAGAAGAAAAATAGCGATCTCTCCAAGTGCCCACAAGCTTGAGTGGAGCAGGTAACAACTGTTCTGGCAGCAATTAAGCTAGAATAATCCTCCCTCGGAGTGTCAGTTTAACTGTGTATATAGCCCACGCTGTACATCACTCCTGTTAAAGTGACCTACGTTAGGCTGACCAGCATATAAAGCCATGTGACTGTGTTGCTGAAGGAGGCTAGGGAGGTCACAGGTAATAACCTTTAATCTGGCTCGGCTACAACCATAACAGCATGACTTCAATTCCTAACGTACCAGCTCTTCCTTCACTTCCGGTGTCTCGCCTTCTGCTCTGTGCACAGCTAGTGACCTAGCAACATTTAGGCTTATTCTTTATGAGAGGGATTACGGGTGTCTGCTGCAGAACAAACATCACAGAATTACATGCAATGAATTAACGGGGAAAAGGGTTTAGTTCTCATTGTCTTAAACTGCATCACTCCTAAAGTGTTTAGGAGTGACTGGGATAGAGGCACAACACAGATGTGTATGATTTGAACAAAGCTGGCACAATAGGCATTAAAAGAAGTTGAATCCTTTATTAAAAGCAGGATTTTGTACCTGAAATGTAGTACTCATTCCCATTTATCTTCCCCAGTATGTTTTGTGCCTTTGCCTGAGTAACACGTTCTGCTTACCTTATTTTTGTTAAAGTGTGACTTCCAGTTACTACATAACCAAGGCAGATCACAAATACAAAGGTATTTTCAAAAACTATTAATTCCCCTTTTTGTAAATACTCCTGAGAAGGTAGCTTTTAGTCAAAGTAAGAGAGAGGCCCTGTTATGGGCAAATTTTAAAAATCTCTTTATTAAAATAGTTTCATGTAGAGCTGTAACCTGGCATACCTGAGTCTGAGATCTTAACAGGGCTGGGACACTGATCCTGTGTTTCGGTATTACCGACAGAAATAGAAGCAAATGCCAGACAGTGTATCTGTAGTGTGCACACGCTAACGCTGCTTGCTAATTCAAAATGATCATGGCAGGATATATTTTTCACATGTATTAAATATTCACATTACAACCAAAGAAATATGACTGATCCCACATACCTGAGATACATTATACCAGTGGTAGCAGCTAGAACTGATGTTTTCAATTTTTCTTAAATCCCTACAGACCTAGGTGCGAGTTCTACAGCTACAACAAACCTTGATGCAGGGAAGGTGTAGGCAACGTATCTAACTTTGCAAAACTGGGCTTCAGCATGCTTAAGATGAAAGAACAGAAAGTGCCTATAAAACCTGAAATTGCTGCTCTCTTGACTTAGCTACTGAAAGTAGTCATTAATAGAAAGTGGAACACGTGAAGTGTGACCTTCTCAGGTAAAATTTAGAAGTATGTACAGGTTTGGGGTTTCTTCTTGGGTTTGGGGTTTCTTCTTGGGTTTTGTGTTTTGCGGTTGTTTTTTAATTCCAGAAAAGAGTAATTGCATAAAACCTTCTGATACTTCACTTAAAATTACTTTCACATATCAAATGTGGTTCAGCATCTTGGTTTAAATTGGGTCTGTTTTCAATTCCCTTTACAGACATACCTACTTCTTACAAACTGTTGCAGAAAAAGCTATGTACTGCGAAAAGTGGTCATGTCCTTTGGCTCGCTGCTCGGCACGCACCAGTCATCTGCTTCATGGTTTGCTTTATAATGTTTCCAGGCTGCTTTGTTATATACAGGGAGTCTTTCAATTGATTCTGTTGATAAGGCCTGTAAGTAGAGAAGACCGTGGCTGACAATTCTTTTGAATCAAAGTTCAAGAAACAGAGCCAGGAGTTCCATTAGCAGTTACGAGTTGCTGATAAATTTAAAACAGTAAAGTGTTACATCATACCTTTATGTAAATAACTGCATCCGTACCATAGCCTTCTAAGGAATACAGTTTCAGGTCTCCTTGGAAGTACTGTGCATACAGACGTGATATGGGTAAGCCATAACCAAATCCAGCCTGATCCAGAAGAAAAAGTGTATTTTCATTAATTGAATCGATCAGTGGTGGTTTCTGGTTTTTCTCAGCAGGTAAGTAGACAAACTAAACGTGATATTTGACAGTAAGAGAAGGAGTTCAAATGTTAACTATTACGCGCCCCAGAACTATTATACAGCCAAGAAAGGGAAGAATGCATGGATGGTTGTGATTATGAGAAAACTCTTTTACTGCTTCGTCGGACAGGGCTGCAGGGTAACACTTCTTGTACCATGACGGTTTTTTCAAGAAGAGATGACACCATTAGAGAAAACTGCAGAGTCTGTCTTCAGTACTGAGTGTTTTTAAGATTAGCAGCTCCATGAGGCTTAAGTTAGATGCATTTCAGCATCAGCGTATACATAAAAAAGGCCCAAGAAGCAATGTGTATGAATTTGTAGCTTATACTCAAATTCTCTCAAGCTCTGTCTGCAGTAGCAGGACACAGTCCTGAAGCATTAAGTGTAATTTTTTTTATCTACTGAATTTTAGAAGTAATCTCTCAGTGAACATACACAACACTTCCCTGTAAGACCTAGCGTTTAATGAGTTGCAGTCAGATAAATGCAGAACACCACATACATTTAAAAAACACATTTTGACTCATGCAGTGTGAGAGAATAAATTCAGGAAAGCTGTTCAGAGCTTCCTACTGAGAGCTAAGGCTGTATTTCTTGTGCATCTATTAAGTTCACGTGAGACCAAAGTAGATTCTTCATATGCCCTGTCACATCTGCATACCTTCATGCTTGCTGGGGTGGTACAGCTGGTTACACAGTACAAATGAAACTGGCCTTGATCTGGTATCATTGCTATAATTATTTTTTCTTTCATTCAGTGACCACAACAAGAATTCAGAGTCCTGTCCTTACTGCAGTACATGCAGCACAGCTCAGTGTTCTACCTGAGGTAGCTGATCTTTACATTTGGTAGAGAAAAACAATCTTGAACAAATTTAATTTTTACTATTATAAGATTTTATATAATTTTCTAGTTATTTTCAGAAAAAAATACTTGAATTAAGCTGTAACATTCAAACAGTGATACTCATGGTATCTGTAACATCAGCACTCCATAGCTTTGGCTAAACGGTTTGTGATAATTAGACATATCCAAGATAACAAGGTACAAAAGGTTTGCGTACCAAAGGTGTAGCTCGTGATGTCTCCATGCGGGGACGTGGAGCTGTGGAATACATATAGTTGAACAGCCGGTCAATTTTCCTCATGGGAACACCTCCACCACGATCGCTCATCTGGAACAAGAACGAACATGTAGCATTATGTCCCTGAAGGCATTTTTATAAAAGACAGCTTCTCTCAAACAACAACCCAGAAAGTTCAGGTATAATATAAAGTTGTCCCTATTAAGTTACAGGTTTTCTTAAATTCTCATCTCTCAGCTACAGCACTGACCAGAGAAAGATTATCCAAGCCTATTAAATACTACCCTAAGAAGCATTCATAATCTCTTGAAAGCAAGAAAATTCTACTTAAATTGTGCATTGATTTTATCTTGTTCATAACTCAATGTTGTCTGAAGTCAGTCAGTATCTGTACCTTTTAGCAAATGCCAGGTTCTGTGTATTTTACCTTTATTCCTTAGGAATACTGCCAGTTAAAACCTATTACCGAAGGAGTAAATCAGAACA